CTGTTCCACCACATATTTGGCTTGGTGCTACCTGCGTTCATGCTGATAATCTTCTCACATATGCTATGGCGGCAGTGCAGCTCTAATGGGGCCCGAATGCAGAGAAATGTCACCGTCATCCTGTCTCTGGTGGGCGTATTCTGTCTGTGTTGGATGCCGTACAACTTCATATTTTTTTTGGACACTGTCCAGAACAGACTTCAGAAACATCCTAATGATTCACATAAAAGCTCTGAAGGTTCACTAAAAATACTTCTTATGGTCACCTCTGCGATAGGCTGCCTTCACGCCAGCCTGAGGCCTCTGCTGTATCTCAGCCTGTGTGGAAACTTCAGGCAACACTTACTGGCCATGCTGAGATGTAATAAAACTGAACCAGAAGGCTCACTCTGGGATCTTGGTGTAGGCCAGAGACAGCAGCCTGATCACAGTCAGGTTCAGCAAGAAGAACTGAAACAGATGACGGATCCAGAGAATCCGTTAGCTTAGTGAAGATGAACATACTCTCTTGCGACTCAAGTGTGAGATGAGCAACTTTACACTCCTGAGAGGAAGTGAATGCAGTTTCATGTCATGAGTTCAAGGGGTGGAGGACTTGTTTCTGCGTAACTGACAAGCAGATGTTTATATATAAAAATGACTCTCACATTCCACACATGCATCATGGTGACATATGCTCACCCAAAAGGGTTAAAACAGATGTCTGTATTTTATTTTTGAATTATTTAAAATAAAGGTATTTAGTTTTTTATGATTAGTAAAACATTTGTGTTGTCAATTAACAGTTTTTAACACAGTTATCGTAAAGCTAATATCATAATCTTTGAAATTCAGTGTAATGCAAGTTGTTACCTTTGGCAGTGTTATTGACATCGTATGTTAATCAGTCCCAAACAGTTTATAACTTTAACACCATTAAAACAATTCAGTGTTTAAGCGTTCTCTCTATCTGCTCTCTTTGACTTGTCTTGAAGCAGTAAATTCCAAGATTGTGTAATGACATGTCAGTGTGGGATTGCTTTGCAGTTAAGGGATTTCCCCTCAGGCCAGTTTACTTAACTTTAAAAATCATTGTTTCTGGGAATGTACAAATGTGACACAGGAAGAAAAGAAAAAAAAGTAGTGATGTCATCAGTCAGGTGACAGAGCACAACGGTGGAGGAGGGGTGCTGCACCCTTTTCATAGCTTTCTATTTACAGTCATCTGAAGACGTGTCTGTGTTTAGTAGGAAGAACTGTGTGAGGCTTTGTGAACAGAGCCAGCTGACAGAAAACCAGCAGACCAGTATGTGGGAGAAGAACAGAAGTTAGAGAAGATAAAAACTTATTGTGATGATAATAGTCTGTGTTGTGCTGCACACACACAAAAAAGCCTGTGGTTTTATGCTTTCACACTGCCCAGCACGTTGTAACCTGCCATGCTTGCCTGGTTTCAAATCCTAACAATCTTGAGAAATGTAACTATGTTCAGAAATAAATGTACTTTCAGCACTGAGTGTTCTTCTGAAAACTCGCTGTACAGTAATTTCACACTTGAAAATATTCACTTTCCTCATTTCGACGCACTCCTTCCTCTGTTTAGTGTTTTGTGACTCTAAAGAGTCTGTAAGAGCGCACGATGCAATAAAAGAAATGGTGGTTGTCAAAAGCAGCAGAAACATTCTTCATGTTTAAGATGTGGTTTACAGTTTTCAGCTGCACCTCAAGCATTATTTCCTGCTTCAGTTTATCTGGCAACTAAGATAGAGAAAACCAGCTAATCAGGTCTTTTGTTTAATGAGTAACAAATCTGGTATCAGCATCAACATAATCTTTAGAAATAGAGTCCAAAAGAAAAAGAGAAAGTCTTTGTATACAACTTGATCAAATGTAAGCGCACTTAGCAAAAATACTAAATAATTAACACAAATCCAGGGCTAGTTGACCCTGTTTGGCTGTGTTTGCAGACAGTGTCTTTAATCCACTTTACTCTCTGTTGCTTTAAGACTGAAATGTTTATAGTGTAGACATCATGACTGTGGTTGGGATGATCTTAGCACTGCTGCCATCAGCCTGCTATTGTCAGATATTTGCCTTTCACGTAATTATGAAAACAAAAGCAGCCGTGTCATTGTCCACATGTTTATCTGAATGTCGGTCATGTGCATGTCAGTTGTTTTGGAGAAGTGAGTCACATGTCACATTATATCTCATTGTTTCCATCTGTTACGTAAGATCTCTGTCACCGAGCCAGTGCGTCTACCTTTCATTTTTATGGTTTCAGTTTCCAGTTAAAAACATGTAAGCTGTTTTTACAAAAACTGCTGGATGTGAGTTTAACTTTTTCTCTATCATTCTTACATGCATTCTTCATCTGTTTGCCAAAATAGGTCGTGAACTTAACTTAAAAGCTTCTCCTCGGTTTACACAGGCCATTATAAAAATTTAATATATACAGAAAAAAAGAGGGAAGAAATAGACCAAAATGTTGCGCAGTCTTCTGTCACGTCAGTTGACATGTACTAAGTAAAGACTTCATGAGCAGAAGACAAGTCACACAGTGGTTTCATAACGTGATTTGAATGCTGCTTTTTTGTTTTGATAATGCTTAAAGCAGGTAGAAATAAGCAAATAATGCATGTAATAATGCAGCTTTTTTATCTTTGCAGGCTCCTCTCCTGCACTGAACTCTATACTGTAAACATTAAAAATTGGGAGTCATTATAATATGTAGAGTAATGGTATGTTGTAAACAGGAAAGTTCCCTTCAGCTCAATAAGATTGTAGAGCAGCATATATACTGACAACCAATAAACTAACCAAAACAATAATTTACTCATTTTTTTGTTCTATTAAAAAATGTTTTTTTTACACATTTATTTTGTTAGCAATTGTAACAGTTATTTCTCTGATTTTACTTTTTATTTATTTAGCAACAAAATTGTTATTACCACAAATATAAACTCTGGGAAATAAAATTCCTCAAAAAAGAGCCAAAAGCTTTTACTGAGGAGTAGCATTTTTGATTTAACTACCTATAAACTCACCAACAAACATGTTCACTCATTTAAGTGTTCATTTTACATTTTTATTTTACTTTTGCTTTGAAGTTTTGTTAAAAATGTGTTTTTTATGTCTAAAATTGCTTTTTAGAAACATGTTCTAACAGACCTCAGATTTTGAATTTTCCAAACTGTTAAGTTTTTTTATACAGCTCAGAAAAACAGTTTGTTTAACATAAAAACATTAAAATAATAGAACATTGTATAACAGTAAGAGTAATGGTGGCCTTCATTATGGTCTTAAAATCACCAGCGATAGACAACATTTCCAAACTGCATGCATTATAGGCCACAGAAATTATGCAATCCCACACACAAAATCAGCTGAAGTAATTCTGTGAAGTAATTATAGACCTATGCATACATTAATTATACTTGTATAGGAGAGCCACAGAGAGTCAAGTCAGAAAAAGTACCAGTGTCAATGCCTGTAATTTAAGCCTCACACCTCATCTTTCTTGCGGTGTGGACTGGAAAGAATCTCTCTGCATGTCTAATATATCTCTTTAAATCTTCTACAGATTGGCTTTCTTGTTAATTAATTCCATATATTTCAAAATGTAGTAAATAACCATATTGTTTACAGTAATTTGGTTGGTTGGTTTTAAAATGCCATTTTGAAGTAGTGTAAATAAAGTGTGTCTAGTAAATTTGAATTTTGAAAGATGTGGTGCCTGAATGTTCATTAGGTTGACTTTTGCTATGTTGACTATGTGAAGTTTTTAAAACAAAACTTCATTACATGACAATTTTTGTGCACATAAAAAAATATTTGTCTATAAAAGTAAATTTAGCCTTTAATCCTGAGAGTAAAATCCTCATCTAACGGTGCTTTCCAGAAGTATTCCAAGACCGAGAGTATATCCCTGGGTGTAAATCCCGATATTTTCAAAAGCAGCCTATATAAACAGGAAAAAACCCAGCTTAAAACAACTGGGTCCCTGCATAACACCAGTGGGTCCTTCCTATTTAAAGAACTTTTCAGTCAGTCAGAATTCTCTGTAACATCAACTAAAACTTTACACTTTGTACCAGAGACTACAGTTGTGATTGGAAGTTTATATAAATTCATCATAAGCATGAACTTCATGGTAATTTTGGGCTTTTAACGGTTTCTTTCAACTGTTCTTTTTCCAGGCTTGAATAGCTGTACGCAGGGGTGGGCAATTCCAGGCCCCGAGGGCCAGTGTCCTGCAGGTTTTAGATCTCACCTTGGGTCAACACACCTGAATCACATGATTAGT